ACATTTCAAACTGTGAGAGGTTGGGAAACACTTTCACTTAGCTGTGTGGGGAAGGAGGTGGCCAATTACAGTCAGGACCTTTCGGTGACGTCTTCAAACCCAGCTCTACCTCTGAGCAGCCATGTGGCCTTGGGCAAATTGACCTCTCTGGTCCTCAGTTTCTTCAGCTGTATGACAGAGATAATAGTGACGTGTCCCCTGTGGGATTATGTAGAAGCTGTGCATGTGAACATACCTGTAAATGCTTAGCCACAACCCAAGAAGAGCTCAACTCTTTTAGAGAATGAATGTAAGAAGGTGCAGTTGTAGTCTGTTTTCTGTTGTTGCTAGCGCATACCAAAGACTGGGTAGGTTATAAAGAAAAGAGGTTTATTTTGACTCACAGTTTTAGTCCCAAGTTGAAGGGCTATATCTGGTGATAAGTGGTACAGGACATCACACGGCAAGAGACAGGGAACACGTGTGTGTGCGTGTACGCGCGCGTGTGTGTGTTTCTGTGTGTGTCTGTGTGTGTGGGTGGTCTCTCTCCCTCTTATAAAAACCCACCAGAATGCAATCCAGGGCTCCACCTGACGACATTAATCCTAACAGTTTTCCAAAGGCCTCTTCTCTAAACACTCTAGATTAATTTTTCCATCCTCTCAGTACCTCCCAATGGGGATTAAACTCCACAGTGACTTTCAGAGGGATCAGATCTTATTCAGCTCCACAGCAAGCTTGCAATAGGTCCACGCTTAGGGTCATTCCAACCCTAAGGGCTCTGTTTTCTATTTTCTTGTGTTCTCTCTCTCTGAGGCAGGGTGCCACTGTTTTCTGACCCCAGGACAGTCAGGCTTGGGGGTCTGCAGATCTCTGAGAAAGTGTATCCACCCTGTTCATATGTTTCCCTGCTTCCCATGGACCCCTGACTGGTAAAGGAAGGGTTCTCCTTCTGCTGTGAGGACTGTGTGACTCCCCCACCCCTCCATTCCCGTGTGGCAGTTTCCCTCGACTCGTCAGCAGAGGCCCTTACCAATGTACACGTGTGCCTTTGCTGAGGACTAAGTGTCTTTAAACTCACGAGTCTCAGTTTTCCCTTATTAACACAGTCAGAGTGAAACAGCAGAAATTGCTCTTCTTTTGTAAAGCGTGTTGTGTCTCAGTGAGTTGACGGAAATGTAATTTCTCTGGCTCATTATGTCAAAACTGGCGTTTGAAGCACGCACGAGGGCTCTTGCTAATGGCTCTTTGTATTACTGAGGGCTCTCCAGAGAAACAGAACCAATAGGATGCTCTGTGTGTGTGTGTGTGTGTGTGTGTGTGTATGAGAGAGAGACAGATAGGGCAGGGGAAGATGTATTTATTATGGGAAAGAGGCTTGCGACATTATGAAGGCTCATGAGTTCCTGCAATGTGGATATTTAGGAGCCCATGGCGTAAGCTCCAGACTAGATGCAGGCAGGCTTGAGACCCAGACACAACTGAAGTTTCAGTAGAATCCAAAGTCTGGATAAAAACCAGTGTCCATCAGGCAGGAGTTTTTCTCCTTACTCCTGGAGGGAGGGTCAGCCTTTTGTTCTATGGTGGTCTTCTACTGATTGGGTGAGGCCCACCCATATCAGAGAGGACATTTGGCTTTATTCAGTCTGTTGATCCAGAAACACTGTCACAGACATGCACAGGATAATGTGTGACCACATGTCTGGGTTCCCTGTGGCCCCATCAAGTTCACATGTAATGTTTCCTTCACACCAGTAGTGTCATCTTGGGGTTCAAGAGTATTTTTTGAGATTGGCTGGAATGGGTTGGTGCTAAAGCCACCTAGATCTTGAAGCTGCTGTTGTTTTCCAGTGTCTCTCATGGGTAAGTGTTCAAGTGCCGCATTTTAGCTCATAATTTCCTCACTACAAGAACTTTGTTTATAACAAGTTCTTGTTATAAAATCAGGAAGAAGGAAAGCCAGTTACCACATGTGGAGGTACACTCTCATGAACCATGGCTGAAGCAAGAGCCTCCAGAACCTTCTCCCAGGGTCAGCAGTCAGTCCTGCTCGTGATTTTGTGCCCAGCCAGACTGCGGCAAAGTTCCAAGTATATAGTGAGGTTGACAAATGGGCTTCTGCATTTTCAAGGCCTCATGATACCTGAAAAAGAATTCCATATAGAGCCATGGCTCCTCAGCCTGAAGCCATCTGGGTGTGGTCCCACTGAAGGTACACAGGGGGCTTTGTCAAGTCCTTGGGCTCATTGACATCTCCTTTTCTGGACATTCTGGATGACACTAAAGACATGTGAATGTGCTCTTGTCTCTGGTTGTATGTTGGGCCAGACATGAGTCGGGGTGAACATGGCGGGGAGCCTTGTCCCTCTACAAAGCCAAGTGCTTCTTCTAAACAGCTGCAAATCATCCAGGTGGAGCTTTAGAGCTCTCTTCCTGAGAAAGGTGTGGTGTGTGGTTCTGTGTAAATTGGAAGTTGACCCTTGTCTTGAGGCCTTGGGGAGGGGTAGTTCTTCTTGGGCCTTTGTCTTGGATTGCTTGTGCCATTCAGAGTCGTTTTGAGCTTAAATTCCCTCTATCTATATCACAGGGGTGGAATTGGTCAGGGATTATAAATTAAAGTAGAATGCAAAGATTTATTTTATTCCTTTGTTTGGGGGTGGAGAGACTAGGCAATCTATTGATGCAGGGAGTGTTGGACCAACAGTATCTGTAAGGTTAGCCTTTGTGCTTTTGCACAAAGCCTGCTTTGACCACTCCAGGGTCACTGGTGAGGTAACTGGCCATGTTCCTTTGGCTTAGCCTCTTACCACCACACCTGGCATTGCACCATTCTTCATCCTGTGTTTAGAATCCAGGTAGACTCACACCTGTGCCTGTGTGTGTACCTGCAAGAACCTACGGAGACATTATTTTATAACTTGGCTTGAGATCATCAGATTTTATAGCTGAGTTATCCTCTTTCCCAAAGTCTTACCTCTTTTCTCTATGCAAAATATGTCAAGGAGCAGGTGCTATATATACAGGTCAAATAGGCTGAATGCCAAAGGTACAGTACTAAAATTTGTTATGTGAGTGAGTGACACTTTGGTAAATCTCATTTTTGGTAACTCACACTAGGTAAGTCAAGAGCAAGCTGCTGTTGCCAAGAAATTTCTAGAAAACCTGAAGGTAAAGTTCTGCTTTCATTTGTTTTGCCAACTTGTTGAAGAGTTTCTCTGTGCTGATGATTCCACAGAGAGCTCACCATGTCATTGACGTGGTCTCTGTGGGAATGGCTTCTGGTCTGCCAGGAGAATGTGTAGGAGACATCATTCTTCAGTGCACTTGGGACCTTTGAGTTTGGTGGGTTTCTCATGGACAGTGTCAAACAGTCTTGTGAAGGAGGGACAGCAGAGAATAAACAAAAATTGGGAAGAGGTTCAAGGTAGTGCAGGAATAAGTGCAAAGAACATCGGTTGTCATGATGGCATTATAAACTTTCCAGCCATTTCCTAAGAAATATTATAGCCTTCATGCAGAGAGTCCTTGTCAGCCCTCTCCCTGTGGCTGAGGGTGACCCTCTGCCATCCCAAAGGGAAGGGTGTAGCGTTCTAACAACCGTCCTCATAAATCCTCACAGTGGAAAGATTATCAACTCATTCACACAAGCGCTTGCCAAATGAGAGAGGATTGAGCATTTTTTACTTCTGTTTACAATTCCTACCAACAACTTTTGCCAAGAACTTCCTGCACTCAGCCTTGTTAAGCTCATCCTCTCCCATGGTCCTCCCTCGCTTGCGAGGAAGACTATTTTATTTTTTATTTAATTGATTTTAGTTTTTTAAATATACAACAGTGGAATGCATTACAATTATTATTACACATATAGAGCACAGTTTTTCATATCTTTGAATATAAAGTATGTTCACGCCAATTCATGTCTTTATACATGTACTTTTTTTTGCATTACAATTTTTATTACACATATATACCATAATTTTTCATATCTCTTTTTGTATAGAAAGTAGGTTGACACTCAATTCGTGTCTTCATACATGTACTTTAGATAATGATGTCCATCACATTCCACCATCCTTGTTAATCCCTGCCTCCTCCCTTTCCCTCCCACCCCTCTGTCCTATCTAGAGTTCATCTATTCCTCCTGTGCTCCTCCTCCCTAACCCACTATGAGTCAGCCTCCTTATATCAGAGAAAACATTTGGCATTTGTTTTTTTTTTGGGATTGGCTAACTTCACTTAGCATTATCTTCTCCAGTGCCATCCATTTACCTGCAGATACCATGATTTTATTCTCTTTTATTGATGAGTAAAATTCCATTGTGTATAAATGCCACATTTTTTTTTTTATCCATTCATCCACTGAAGGGCATCTAGGTTGGCTCCACAGTTTAACTATTCTGAATTGTGCTGCAGTAAACATTGGTGTGGCTGTGTCCCTATAGTATGCTGTTTTTAAGTCGTTTGGGTGTAGTCCGAGAGGAAGACTATTTTATTACAGTTTTATTTCTGATGAAACTGAGGCTTAGGGGGATTGGTTGACTTGCCCCTGATTACACAGGCAGAGTATGGCTGAGCCAAGGACAACACTAGCCACTGCCAGCCAGGCTGTGCTGGATCCTGTTCTCATGGAATGTTGTGTTCATCATGGATTTTTTTTCTTTGTTTGGCATGAATTTTGCATTCAGATATCAGATATCTGAATTCAGATATCATCTTGGTTACTGAGTTGCTGGTGCTCAGGGCAGGTGTCTCTGCTTCACAAGTGAAGACCATACCACACCTTTGTAGTGAGATCAGTAACTTGCTTGAGGTCCTGTGGCTGCTGGGGTCTTACTCAGGTCTCCTCAGAGCCAGGCTGGAGGCAGCCACAAGATGCACCTTCAGTCAGGGTCATTGTGCCCTCACATGGGTGGAAGGAACCCAGCTTGGCATGGGCTGCCATGTCTGTGTCCAGCCCTCTGAGGCTTGGGCTTGGTGGCCTCTGTCCCAGCCCTGTTCTCATGAGTGTGTTTCTCTTCCAGGTCAGGAAAGAGGTTAAAGAAGACCCGCAAGTATGACATCATCACCACTCCAGCTGAGCGGGTAGAAATGGCCCCTCTGAATGAAGAGGACGATGAGGACGAGGATTCCACAGTATTTGACATCAAATACAGGTGCGGGGTGGGGTCAGAGCTGTCTTCCTGGGCTCCGGGTGTCGGGTTGGTACAACAGTTCACCTTTGAAAGCACGGGAGCCTGGGCATGTTGTGAATGTGCTCTCTTCTCTGGTTGTATGTTGAGCCTTGAGTCATTCAGCTTCTGGGGGGGGGGCGGGGAACCTGTGCTGATCCTTTCCCAGGACATACAGCACCCATAGACCCAGCTGACAGGGAAATGCTTACCTCTTGCTTTTTCCAAATGAGAATGCTAAGTCAGTTTTAGGGGAGGAAAAGGAGGGTCAGACTTCAGACAAGGAACTGGTCATGCCCCTGGCTGGAGGAGGTCTGAGCCAAGCAGCTGCATGCATCACACACTGTGCACCCAAATAGACGTTCCGTTTCAGCATTGTGCAAGCCAACAGTCAAGGATATGGGTGGGTGGGATTCTTGATTGAATGGAACTTTCCCATGATCTCCAAAGACAGGTGAGTTTCCTAAAGGTGGTCTGTAGGAGAGTCAGAATGACTTCGTGACATCACAACTGCAGTATGGGTGTTCATATCCTTTTGGGATGTACTTTGAGTATGTGAGATTCTCAGTGAAAGAGCCGGAGGGCTTGGAGGCTCAGAGTTGGAGGAGAAGTTGCTTGTATAAGGTCCCAGGTAGTAGGAAAAGTGGAATAGAAATCTAGGCTGGGTCCTAGTCTGACCTCCCCCATTCCATGGCCTCTCCATGCCTGGGGTGGCAAGCCTTCTACACCTACTGTCATTGGTTTCTCTTCAGACATCTTTTTGGTCCTTCTATATAAATCAGTTTTCAGATTCAACAAAAACAAAGTGTTTGGAATTTTAATTGGAACTTCATCGACTCTGTAGTCAGCCTGTTTATGTTGGCTCTTCCAATCCATGAACATGGAATAACTTTCCATTTATTCAGGAATTTAAAAAAATATCTGCAGCAATTTTAAAAATTTACTCACAAAATCTTTAATAAATTTGTTAGATATATTTGTAGATGTGTTTTACACATATACATATATAGATGACTTCATATATATATATATATATATATATATATATATATAT